ACTCTTTCTTCCTATTTTTTTATTTAATATATATTTCATAAACTTAATATAAGTAGGCATCTATTCAATTTTTTCTATAAAAGGACATTAATTGTTAGCTTCTTGAACATCTCAAAAAATTAGATGAATTATTTTTATAAATTATTTTTTGTTTTCTATGAGAAAATGGTGGTGATTGTATCCCAATCGAGTTTTTTAATAATTTTTTCTTTCCTTTCGCGTTTATATGGTGTTAATTAAGATTTTTATATTTTGTTAGGCTATTAAATAGTATTGGTTTAGAGGTAGCCTCATTTATGTTATCCTCATCACAAGTTTGATGTGCACTTCTTAACAATAGGGCCTAAGATTTCTTTTTTTTTCAGTGGACTTCACTTTCACATTATTTGATAAATTCCCTTATGTTCTATTCCTTAATGAATTATCCATTTGGCTTAATTAGTTCTAAATTCTCTTAGTAGCTACTGCTTAACTTTGAACTATAGTACTCATATATAACTTGAGTTCTTTTAAAGATAATTCATTTTCTTTAAGTGGAATATTTGAAGTAAATCTTTGACAAAACTAAGTTTATGATTATTAAACTTAATGTATTATATGCTCTTATTTCCCAAGGATCACTATTGATTAGTGTTCCAGTTATTATTTCCCTTTGCTTATTTTTTGAATTGAAATTAGGACAATTCCTCTACTTAGGTTATAAGTGTTTGGAAAAGAATTTTTTTTTCTATTATTGATCATATGTAATTTTTCCATTATTTATATCCTAGGATCACATAATTGAAAAATATAAAACTCTTAATTGCTTGTAGGTGTCCCTTGTCTTTGAGAACCTCTTTGATTATATATCTTCTTTTGTAGGGATCAATATGGGAAGTCGAAATGGTCAAAACATCATTCTTTTGTACGCTAACAAAATTTATTGTATGTTATTTATAGAAATCTTGTAAATCAAAGCAAAATCTTATCAAATGGCTTAAACAGACATTAACCCAAGGACTTTAAAGGGTACATAATAAATTCTAGGAAAAGGCTTAACTTACAAAATAGAGATTAGTACAAGCACACGACATGCAATATAAACTGAACCATGCTTTGAGGAAGGAGAGCTAAGTAGTGCTACATAATTCATGTAAATTTAAAGCTCAATTATTTTTTCCATCTCTTTTTTGGTATGACTCACTATAACATATTGGTGCACATTTCTCACACCCAATAAACACATAAAAAAAATAATCAAAATGCAACTGCTAAGAAAAATACTAATGGTATTTTCATGCATACGAGAAACCTAACTACACCCTAATTCTAATTTTAAGCAAGCATCTGTGATGTTGCCTAAATAGAATCTAAGTAATGATCATACAGCATAAGGCTAGGGGCATTCTCTAAGATCTTGACAAGGCACCAAGATTGACTTCTTCTTAAGTATCTAAAAGAGCTAAAACCCATCATAACAATGATGAACGTTAATATGCTTCG